AAGTCCAACAAATGTGCCTTTGTTGGTTATGGCGGTGATGAGTTTGGTTACCGGTTTTGGGACTACGAAAATCGAAAGATCATCAGAAGCAGAGACGTCATTTTCAATGAAAATGTGATGTACAAAGACAGGTCAACCGCAAAATCAAGTAATACCGAGGCTGAAACAAAGGAATTTGCTGAGTTCGAGGAGATTTCTGAAAATAATGTTCAGATCAGTCCTGAAGCAGTTCAAGAGGAAGAACCAGGCACACCAGAACTGAGACGCTCCTCCAGAATTCCTAAACCAACCCAACGGTATTCACCTTCTTTACACTACTTGTTGCTGACTGACAATGGTGAACCAGAGTGTTATGATGAAGCAATGCAAGTGGAGGATTCAGTCAAGTGGGAGTCTTCCATGAAAGATGAGATGGACTCGCTTATGTCAAATCAGACGTGGGAATTAGCTGAATTACCACTAGGCAAGAGAGCGCTCCATAACAAGTGGATTTACAGGATCAAAGAAGAGCACGATGGGAGCAAACGTTACAAAGCAAGATTGGTTGTCAAAGGCTTTCAGCAAAAAGAAGGTATTGATTACAATGAAATTTTCTCTCCAGTCGTAAAACTGTCTACAATCAGACTGGTGTTGAAAATTGTAGCTGCAGAGAATTTACATCTTGAGCAGTTAGATGTAAAGACAGCTTTCCTTCATGGTGATTTGGAGGAAGAAATCTATATGAGGCAACCAGAAGGCTTCATAAAAGCAGACAAGAAAAACCTGGTATGCAGGTTAAAGAAGAGCTTGTATGGTTTAAAACAAGCTCCAAGACAGTGGTACAAGAAGTTCGATAGTTTCATGAGTAGCAGTGGTTTTACCAGATGCCAAGCAGATCATTGTTGCTACATCAAGAGGTTCGACAACAGCTTCATTATTTTATTATTGTACGTTGATGATATGCTCGTTGCAGGCTCAGATATGCAAGAGATTATAAACTTGAAGCAAAAATTGTCGAAGCAGTTTGCTATGAAGGATCTCGGCGCTGCAAAGCAGATTCTTGGGATGAGGATCAAAAGAGACACAAAGTCGGGGACTTTGATGTTATCACAGGCTGAGTACATCAACAAAGTACTCTCCAGGTTCAACATGCAAGATGCTAAACCAGTAAGTACACCTTTAGGTGTTCATTTCAGACTCTCCAAAGACCAATCACCAAAGACGGAGGAAGAACGTGCACACATGGTGAAGGTGCCGTATGCCTCAGCAATTGGAAGTCTGATGTATGCCATGGTTTGTACCAGACCAGATATTGCTCATGCAGTGGGAGCTGTTAGCAGGTACATGAATAATCCGGGCAAGGTACACTGGGAAGCAGTCAAATGGATCCTCAGATATCTGCGGGGTACCACAAACAAAGCACTTTGTTTCAAAAGTGGAGATACGATACTGACAGGCTATGTAGATGCTGACTTAGCCGGAAATATTGACATCAGAAGGAGCACTACAGGGTATGTCTACACTCTAGGAGGTACTGCAGTGAGTTGGGTTTCTCAACTACAGAAGATAGTTGCTCTCTCCACAACTGAAGCAGAATATGTCGCTGTTACGGAAGCCAGCAAGGAGATGGTTTGGCTCCAAAGTTTCTTGGACGAGTTAGGTAAGAAACAAGAAAACAATGTCTTGTATTGCGACAGTCAAAGTGCTATCCATCTAGCGAAGAATCCGTCTTTTCATTCCAGGACGAAGCACATACAATTGAGATATCATTTTATCCGGTCTCTTCTGGAAGATGGGATTTTGAAACTTGAAAAGATTAGTGGAGCTCAAAATCCGGCAGACATGTTAACAAAGACGGTGACCACGGACAAACTGAAGTTGTGTTCAACTTCAGTTGGCATGCTAGAATAAAAGACCAAAAATACTGCTGCATCGATCGAGGTGTGAAGACAGATTGAAATTAGTCTTCAAGTGGGAGATTGTTGGTCAAAGACAGCAGCCAGGGGGGCTGCTAAGGGAAGAAAAATGGGGGGCTGCTAAAACAAATTGGGGAGGGGGGCTGCCCAAAATATTTTTATTTTTAATTACAATATTAGTCCCTAAGTTTTAACTATAAATACCCTAGCTCATTTAGCTTCAAAATCATCCCAAAAATCATTTCTTTCTCCCAATACTAGAGAGCTTTCTTGTGAGTAGTGAGTGTTTTGTAAACACTTGTAAAATTTCTCTCTTAGTAAAAGATCTGCAGCAGTCCGGAGACGTAAGCATAAATTGGCTGAACTCCGTTATCAAATTTCGGGTATTATTTTTCCGCTTTTATTTCGCATTCTCACTAATCTGGTTATAGGGAAATTACTTGTACTTGGTTTATTTCCTAACAAGTATCAAGCTTTTGTCATCTGATGGAGCAAATACACTGGAAATGGCTTTTGGACACTGCTCCAGTTACTTGCCTTTCTCTATCGCCGGATAGTAACTATCTCGTAACAGGATCCCGGGACAGTACAGTGCTACTTTGGAGGATACATAGGGCAAGTAAGGGCTCAAGTAGCACATCTGAGACACCTACTACCCCTCACATCCCAGCCACACCTTCTAGAGATAGTTTAGCTAAAATCATAGCAGATAAAAGCTTGAAGCGTCGGATAGAAGGTCCCATACATGTCCTTCGAGGTCACCACAGGGAAATTCTTCGTTGCTGTGTCAGTACGGATCTAGGTATGGTTGTTTCATGTGGCCTTCCATCAGATGCTCTGTTGCATTCTATGAGAACAGGCTGTTTGATTAGACGGCTTGCTGGTGTGGAAGCTGATGCTATCTACCTTTCATCCGAGGGAATCGTTTTAACCTGGAACCAATCGCAACAAACTCTCAGCACATTCACTCTCAATGGAGTTCTGGTTGCAAGAGCACAACTTACTTCCTTGGGCAGTATAGGTTGCATGGAAATATCCGTGGATAGTGAGAGTGCTTTAATTGGAATGAACTCAACTTTGCGCAATAAAAACCGAGACTTGAGTGTAAGCAACCTTCCATTTGCTTTCTGGATCTACATACTCAAGGTACACAAAATTTTTTAAACAGATTCAGAGATTCTATTATCCCCTATCTGCACCTCCAGTACAAGTCAATGTGGCATCGTTGTGGTTTCGGCTTGCAACTTGTCCTCTTATGTGCCACCTTTTCACTTGCAGGTGTTCTACGTCTTGGAACTGAAAGAAGGGCAGGACATTACAGCTCTTGCTTTGAACGAAGATAACACAAATCTTCTAGTATCTACTGCAGATAAGCAGTTGATCGTTTTCACAGATCCAGCCGTAAGTTGAACTATTTTCTTTTTCCATTTCTTGGTATCATTAACTAAATATCAACAATGTTCTAGATGATCCTTAGAGAACAATATTCTTATACCCATGTTCCAATGTGCATAAGATATGAGTGCTAGACATGAATATTTCAAGGAAAATAAAGAGTTAGAACAATATAATTTCAAAAGGCATAATGCCAAAAAAAAAAGTAACTAACATTTGATTAAATAGTTATTTTGGCCTTTATTTTTTTTAGCATTTTGGCTACAATATTTTATTTTAGGGCAAAAAGACCCTAATATTTGACTAAATAGTCACTTTAGTCTTTTTCTTTTTTGGAGTATTTTGGCCCTGGTGGTTCGTTTTAGGACAAAAAATCCTCTATTTTGGAACGTTGACAATTTATTTGACTAACAGTTTCCATTCACGGAGGGATTTTTTTGTCCCAAAATAAAATATTATGGTCAAAATGTTTCAAAAAAAATAGAATTCAAAGTGACTATTTAATCAAATGTTATGGATAATGTCATTATGCCATTTTAAAAATACTAATTTAGAATTACTAAAATTTGTGTTGTTTTATCGGAATTTGAACTCTCGTTTATTATGGCCTTGCGATGTGCAGTTGAGCTCGAAAAGCGGTGGAACAAAAGCTTAAGCATGGTTGGGAAGGCGGAGGGCTCAACCCTCTCATAAAAGTCTTACTCTTCATAGGTCAGCCTTGGAATGTTGATTGGCTAAAGAAGTATAGAAGATGCACAATTGACCCGAATCGCTTGTGTAGGAAGAAATCGAGTGAGTTAACGCGGCATCTGCCTTCGTGTATTTAATAATTAACCCTATAATGATACGATTAACAGTCGTGTAATTATCGAAGGAGACCAGTGCTTTAGGAAGGGCCATGGTGGGATTTAAGTTGGGCTTGTTTCTTCACCAAAAGGACCTACGGCTACGTTACGAGACATGCAAATAGAGTTATTATAGAATTTTGATATGTTCAAAAAATATAGGATAAGTTGTACACTTTTTGAGATCTTTATGATTATTTTTTCTTTAACTACACAAGATCAAAGATCAAAGTATAATTTTGAGATTTTTTTCTTCAGTGTATATCATAATTTTTTATTTAAAATGTTGATCAATTAATTTTTTTAATATGCAAGATTTTTTAGTCTTTGAAAAGTTGAAATGATGCCATTCTCTGATTTAAAAATGTAAAGATATGTATTATATAAAAATTATTTTATTTTGGTAAATATTATTCATTTTAATGATACTTTTATTAATTATTTAGCGATAATTATTTAATATACTAACGGTGGAAAAAAAATAATTTCACATGTGTGCTTAAGTTTATAGTAAGTGTCCTTAATTTTAAAAAGCACGTTAATACACTTGTCAATATTTTAGGTGTGCTTGTAAAATTATTATTTTTCTATTAGAAACGTATCAAATAATTGTCATTATATTATTAATTGATTACTTAGAATATATAGTATGATGTTTTTCATATACAATGTTTAAAGTTAAAACGATGACGAAATCTAAATTTATGACCATCAATAAATCAGATAATGTCACATAATTTAAAATAATATATATATATATTGATGAAATGTTATTTTCTTTGATATATATATATATATAATTTGAATAACAAAACATAAATAGATCAAAAAATACTTTTAACAATAAAACTACATATTTGAAACTTGTGTGCTCATTTTTACGTAGGTGCCCTAGGAACGGCATAAAGACGAAGGCCCTCCTTCATAAGAAGAGTGAACATTGTCCTGTAAGTAATAGTTTTCATATCGTCAACTAATTTTAATCGAAAGAAGCGAAGGACTGCAATTGAGACTATCTTCATCTGTCGATATGCAAAATCTTTGCCCAAGCAAATTCGAGGACCAGCCTGCAAAGCTCACAAAGATTGAAAATCCATTACAATCATACAAAAAAAGAATAGAAAAAAGATCAAATCAAATAAAAAAAATAAGACGAACATGGAATGCTACGAATTTGAAAGGTGATTGAGGCTGGAAAACCCCATTTTGAAGCCATCTTTCGGGTCGGCAAATGTGGGCATCTTCTCCCCAAAACTTAGGCATTCTACCCACGGCGTACGCCATGTAGTATACTCCATCCCCTTTCTTTACTTTGTGCCCATCTGGTAGAATATCATCCTCCCTTGCACACCTTCCATCCTTTGTACCGTAAAATTAAGACCACAATCATAATTTGATGGTACAATAAGTAAGATAACGGTAAAATCAGCACGCGTAAAACAGGAAAATAAATAAGGCATATTATCTAAATTCATCCCTAATATTATATAAAATAGTCATTTTGGTTCTTGTTCTTTTATCCCAATATTTCATTTTGGGGCAAAATATCCCTTGTTCGATGTAAATTTTTAGTTGATTAATGGTCAATACTTATCATTAATGTGGTAAGCCTTATATGTCAAAAGTGATGATGTGGCATGTACCACACCATCACTTATGTACACGTAGAATGTCACGTCATCACTTATATATATACATGACATTTTTTATATTATCATTTATGTACATGTGACATATTTAATATCACCATTGTGACTATGTGGTATATCTCACATGACTCACATCATTATTTATATACACGTGATATGTACAACGTCATCATTTTGGACACATAAGATTTATTTTACCTCAAAATGAAACATTGGGACCAAAGTGTTTTGAAAAAAGTAAATATCAAAATGATTATCTAATCAAACATTAGGGCACTTTTTGTGATTATGCCAAATAAATAAATAAATCAAAGTTTGTGAGTGAACTTACAACAGGAACAACAGGGTAAAGCCTCAAGGTCTCAGTTATTGCTGCATGGAGATAGTGCATTTGGTCAAGGGTTGCATCGGTTATGGTAGCCACGAAATCTTCAACGTTTTCGTATTTTGCTTCACTAACAGTGATGTCCATCACTTGTTGAGCAATTCTCTCTCGAATCAAAGGGTTCTTAGAGAGCATGTAGAAGAACCAAAATAAAGTGTTAGCAGACGTATCTTTTCCCGCCATTATGAAGTTGAGTATTATTTCCCTTAGGTATTTGTCATTCATCGTTTCAGGATCCTTCTCGCTTTCCACTAAAAATCTCGAAAGTATATCTTCTTTTACATTCTTCAAATATATAAAACTAAATCAGAAACTATATATTCTTAAGTCACTCAAACTCGGATCATTTGTTCAATTTTCTTCTTCTTCAAGAGTCATATATTAACCGTCAAATTGTGGTTAATTTGATCATACGGTTTTAGTACTTCTCTTAAAATGGTTCCTAAAGAATCTTTACTCGCAAGTTGGTACCTCAAGTAGGCACCTTCATTGTTGGTACCTAAAGAAATTTTACTCAGAAAGTTGATACCCAAATTTTAATTTCATCCATTCTTTTGGTGCTTTTAATAAATTCTTACAAAATTTTTTTACATATACATTATGATATCATCACTGACACGGGGTACAATCTTATATTATCATGTCATCAAAAGTTAACATCTTTAATAAAAGAATCAAAATAGTGGATGACATTAAAGTTCAAATAAACCAACTTAGGAGTGAAAATTCTTTAAGTAACCATTTGAGAAAAAATACATAATTCATGTATCAAAGTAGAAGTAAAAATTCTTTACATACAAATTGAAAAAAAAAATATTTTATTTCAGCATCAAATGTATATTTAAACCTTTATTTTTAAGGTTTTGAAAGACTAGAACCTTATATATATGGACAACTCCTTGATCATTATTTAAATATTTAGTCTAAAAAACCTTTGAATTAAAGAATAGAGCAATATTAAGAAGAAAGTATGTATGAGCTAGGAAATGACTGACCATATAAAGTTTAGTGGAGAGTAGTTGCCTCTTGGTGCTAATAACATTGGGAACGAAGGTGTGAATGAGTTGGATGTTGGTTTTGAGGGCAGCTTCGTTGCCAATGTTAAGAGCCCTTTTGAGCTTCCAAAAAGGGTCAACATAACGCCAATACACCATCTCGTTCGCATCATCGAATGCCTTCATAAAAGCATTCCCTTCTTTGCTTGACCCTTCTATGCATTTCAGATCAATCCCGAAACCAACTTTGAATATCGAATCCAAAGTGCTTTCATTAATATATTCTACAGATATTAAACAAACTAAAATCAAATCTAAATACAATCCGTTAATATAAGACTAAAAAACGTATATTAGTTGTAACTGAAAAACTTATCAAGAGCGTAACATTTTAGAGTAAATTTAGTGAAAATTTTAATTGATAAATTTAAAATGAACAAAACTTGATATAATTTGATTTGAAAATTTTAATTGATAAATTTAGTTTAAAATAATTTGAACTCTAAATAATTAAAAGTGACAAATTGCTGAAAATTTTAGAACTAAAATTAATTCAATCCAAATCAAATCATCCAGAATTAATCTAACCCTCTGAAATCGTACCTGTGCACAAAAAAATATAACCTACCTTTCTCCATGCAATTGGAACAATCCATTTAATATTATTTTAGTCTAAAATGAATAGCTATTCTCTAATTTTAGGCCCGTAACGAATCTCCCCGTCCCGAGTCCAACATAGGATACCGTGGTTGGCCCAATTCTCGCATTTAAAGGCAGCGTTGGGTGTTGGCAGACGGGAGTCGGGACCGCAGTCTAGAAATATCTTCGAAACACCACTGCAATTCACAAGCCTGTAAGCACATGCGCCCAGAAGCGCAACGAAGCCGCGACTTGAAGTCTGAGCTCTGACGAAAGCTCTTAGTTCCTTCAATCACCAGAAACCAGAAGCTTGATCAACCCAAGAAACTCCGCTACTTTCGGTTCTGATATCTGAGCCTATTCATAACATGGTGAGTTCTATTTGAGTAATTCTGTCGAACACATACAATGCGTTACAACATCTAATCTGTTATTTCCTTGGTATTGCAGTCAGTTACTTTGCATACAAATCTTGGTGACATTAAGTGCGAGATCTTCTGCGATGAGGTCGCTAAAACGGCGGAGGTTAGGACCTTCATTTCCTTCAAATGTTTCCTTTCTTTTTCAGTAATCTGATTTTATTTATCTGAAAATAATACTAGCTGAAGGTTCTGCTGCCGCATGCTGTTCAGAAATAAAATTATTGATAAACTATAGATTAGGGCTAGTATTTTGCTTAAGGGAATATTCTTTGGTACCAATTGTTGCCCTAATCCAAAGTTTTAGGAAATTGGTGACAAATTCTTTGTATGTTACCACTGTTATTATTTGCCTTATTCTTTAAAGGAAATTATCTCCTTTCAGTGTATTAATGAGTTCTGTATAATTATTTATGATATAGTTTTGCTATATACCTATATTCTATGTTAGACTTTTCATGGTTTTGAAATACATGTATCAGATACCCAAGGACACGGGTATGGGAGTTTAATGCCCCGCCTTTAGAATGCATGGAAAAGATTTAAACATATGCATATCATACTCATACCTGTATTGGAGACTTGTATTGTTCCCAAGTGCAAGTAACATAGGCTGTATTTATGCTTTTCTTTTTCGATCTATAAACTTTTGTTTTTTGGTGTATTTGCAAGCGTAAAATACAAGTCTTGCTTAATTTCATTACAGTGGAGAAATTTTGCATTCTAATGGGTATAACTTTCTGAGGCATCTATTTTAGTGAATGCATTTGTTTATGTTTTACAAAGTAATTGTTTTTTGCTATTGCCCATGTAAATAATACTAGTGTTTCGTTTGGGTGCAGAACTTTTTGGCACTCTGTGCTAGTGGTTATTATGATGGGACTATATTTCATAGGAATATTAAAGGTTTCATGATTCAAGGTGGAGACCCAACCGGAACAGGCAAAGGGGGAACAAGTATATGGGGCAAGAAGTTCAATGATGAGATTAGAGAATCCCTCAAGGTATGTTAAGCTTAATAGTTAGTGAAACAAGAAAAATTTTCATCGTGAACTTAGCTTATGCAATCTCTCAAAGTGGTTTGAGAAAATTTTGTCATCAACTTTTACCCATTAAGAGTGGGGAAGGAGAAAAAAACACTCTTTCTTGTTTGAAGATTGGTTAGCTTTTTTTTTCTTCTGAGAAGCCTATGGTTTTCCATTATGCTTCAAGTCCAGGTTTTAACCTTGAGGAGTGAATGGAACGTTTGTTTAGCTGACATACTCTTTGAGTCTGAAATTTTGGTTTCTATAACCTTCCCACCCTTCATTTTTTATCGTGGAACCATCCTTTTATCTTGGAACCATCGAAACTAAAGTTTAGTTTCAATGTCTGGTTACAAGTTATAATCTTTTAACACTTGCCACATTTTAAATTGCTCATTACTTTTGAATGTAGACACGCCCTTTTTTATCTGACAAAAGTTTACCTTCTTACAGCATAATGCGAGGGGTATATTGTCAATGGCTAATAGTGGTCCTAATACTAACGGGAGCCAATTCTTCATAACATATGCAAAGCAGCCACATCTCAATGGATTATACACTGTGCTTGGCAAGGTTATCCATGGTTTTGAAGTCCTGGATATCATGGAAAAGGTATATTGTACTGGAACATATAGACATATTTCCCTGCTTAGTTTGCTTTGATTTAGAATGCCTCGGAAATAATTACGTTGGGATTTAGATCTTCATGCAAACTCTTTCTTTCTTTGTCCAAATGACTTTCTGTGTTGATGTTTACATCATTTGCTATAAAAATGGTACTAATCCATGCTGGATTACCTTATCTCCACAATTATGATTTGGGGATTTCAAAGGGTAGGGGAAATTCTAGATTATTTTTAATTTGCTGACTGCTGAGGTACCCAAAAGAAAGACATTCAACATGAATCTGAAGTGAATGGTTTTCCGGAACCAAATCTCTTATTTTTCAATCTCAGTCTCACTGAAAATAAGTTCAATGCAGCTGCATCTTGCAACTTGCAACCTGCAATTTCTTGTTTAGCATGACTGAACGCTATTTTGTTGATGCAGACTCAAACAGGAGCAGGCGATCGGCCACTTGCAGAGATAAGGCTGAACCGTGTGACAATACATGCTAATCCACTCGCTGGCTAGTCTTTCTTCAGCAATTAGTGTAGTGAAGTTCATGTCAGACAACGGAGGATTTCACGAGTTGTAGACGTTTAACCTATCAATTTTAAAAATGTTAAAAGGGCTTGTAATGGGTGTTCCTCTGGATCTAGGACAGTAATTATATGGTAAAAATGTAGACATTCGACATTTATCTGATTTAACTTTTTGGTTGATTTAATGGTCTCTGTCAAAAAAATTGAACAAAATTATTTGTTTTAATTCATATCATTAATTCTTTTGTATATTCTTTTATATTTTTAAAACAGTATTTAATCTAAATATTTTATCTATTTCAAAAGTATTTTTAGTAAATGATTTTTTAGATTATAACTAATTAGAGTAACAGTCAACAGTTATCGATTATTAATGTGAATACTAATTATAATTAGAATTAATCATTACAAGTAATGATACCGTTAAAAATTGGCTTCAGTAACATTTATAATATTTGAACTTTGAAGTTGAAAATGTGTGAGAATCCGATAGTGGGTTAAAGATTTTTCTTTCTCAATGAATGGTAATGGTTATGATGGTTGAAATGGCGGTGACAGTCGTGGCGGAAATGGTAGGTCGAAGAAAGCTTTGGAAGACGGCGGAGCTCAGGTGACGGTGGTAGTTATGAGACATGACGTAAGAAACCGGTGATGAGGTGGCAGGATGGTGGCGGGGTATGCGGGAGAGGCTAAGTGGTGGAGAAGAAGGCAAAGGAGGCTGGCTGGCTCTAATTTTTGTAGTTTTTAGGGTTTTAGTTTAGGCGGGGCGTTGTTGCTCTCCACTTTCTTTTCTTTCATTTTTTAAAGGTTTATTAAATATTCAATTTAAACTTTCATCAACGATGAAATTAATTGCGACCAGATTAAAGATAGTAACAACAGTGAAATTAGTTAATTAAAGTTTATATTGAGATAAATACTTAGATTCGAACATACTAATAATGATTGATGAAATCTCGTGACAATAAAAAAAATTATTAATAATATTAAATTACATTATATATATTTTTAACGGTCCTTGCGATAGTGATGGGGCCACATCTTAGTGGGGGTGTTATGTGTACATTCTAAAATTCGAATTTTCTTCAATTAGTTATTTATTTTATTGATGGTGTCCACACTAAAATTTTATTTATGTTCATCTCATTCCAAAATTTTATATTGCTAACATATGTATGTCCACTTTTAAAAATATTTCTGGTAATATTTGTAACGTTAAACACCACATTAATAAAAAATATACATCTAAATGAGAAAATATAATGGTACTAGTTCTGTTAATTTTTTAATAGCATGTGAATAAAATAAAATTAAAATGTAACGTTAGTGATGGTTTTGAAAAATAATTAGTTAAATAACTAAAACAAATTATAATTATAATTGAGAGACTAAATATGTAATTTATCCAAATATTAAAGATGATGTTTAGTTCGAGTATATCTATATCTTTTTAGTTTTTGTTCGTTATTTCTAACATTATCTTTTCTTTTTTTTTAGTTTAAGTAAATACAAGGCACTCTATATTCAAAGAATATAAATCATTTGATATTAAATACTCAATATATTACAGCATGTATAATGTTCAAACTTGAAACATAAAAAAATAATAATAATTTCTTAATCATCGAAGTCACTTAATCTATTATATTTCTAAAAACGTTGAATTATATAAGCGTATTCTTAAATAAAATATTTAAACATAAACAATAAAAATAAAATTCACAATTGTCTCAACGTAAAAGATTAAATGATCATATAAAGGAAAAAGCCGTCTAGATGTTTAAATAAGGGATCTATCTTTTAAAATAATCTAATGAAAATTTAATATTTTCTATATTTTTAAATAAGTATCTTAACTTTTAAAAGAGTTAAATTAGAGTGTAACAATCTTTAAAAATATTTTCATATTAGGGTCTTTATTTGAGTAGATAAATAAATGTCAGATTCTTACACAGTCTAAAAAAATATTAAAATTTTATTTGAAAATTTTAAAAAGTTAAATATTTATTGAGTTAATTGCATCATAAATCCTCAAAGTATGACCCTCATTTTAAATTGGTTACTAAACTTTTAAATGTTTCAGTTTCATCCCTAAATTATGATTGTCATTCTAAATTAGTCCTCAAACTTTTGAACATTTCAGTTTCATCCCCAAAATGTGACATTTATTCTAAATTGACCCCCAAACTTTTTTGAACATTCTAATTTTATCCTAAATTATACTCGTATATTAATCACATCCATTGTTAACAAAATCCTTAGGTCAAGTTACATTATTGTATGTTTGAAAAAATAGGTTAAACTATGTTTGAAACTAATTATATATTCGGATGAATTTAGGGATATAATTGGAATATTTAAAAGTTTAGGGACCCATTTAGAAAGAGGGTCATAGTTTAGTGATAAAATTAGAATATTCAAAAGTTTAAGGATTGTTATAAAATGAAAGCCATAGTTTAGGGATCAAATTAGAATATTAAAAAGTTTAAGTACCAATTTAAAATGAGGGTTATAGGTAGGGGAAATATGATGTAATTAACTCATATTTATGTAAATATATTAAAAATATATGGTAAACTATACCAATGGCCACCCAACTATAGCCCCTATTTACTTTGACCACCATTTTTTAATGCATTCAATCAGGCCACTGGCCGTCAATAGTTAACGGAAGTGATGAAGTGACAGTTAGTAAAATTGGTACAATTTCATATTTGGTCACGATTACTTATATATTCTATCAATTTGATTATAATTTTAATAAATTAAAATAAATTTAATCTTCAAATCAGATCATGTCGCATGTCAGTAGTGCCAAATATCATGAGACATGTCTCCACCCGATTGGAGGATTTAATTTAGTTTAATTTAATATAATTAGTTTCTACCAATCAGAGAGTGACACATGTTATCATCAGGTGGAATGAAAATTAAAAACACTAAAGAAGAGGTCATGGGATTCAAACTAAAGTCCCTGGAGTGACAAAGGAGAGCACTAACCACTAAGACAAGCCCATTTTATGGTTTATAAAAGAGTATATATATATATATATATATATATATATATAGTTTCTTAGTATAATCTTAAATTCTTAATAATAAATATATCTTAACTTAAAATCACATCTCAAAATTTAAAAATATATTTTATTCTTTTAACTTATTGAGTTTATTTTATTCTTATCTTAATTGAAAAATGTATTTTAATCTTATCTTAACTTATAAAATGTATTTTATTCCTAACTTAACTTAAAAATATATTTTATTTTTATCTTAACTTGTTACATATATTATATTCTTAAGTTAAATTATTAAATATAATATATTCTTACCTTAAATTATTAAATATTATTTATTCTTATCTTAACTTGAAAATATACATTTATTTTAATTTAAAAATATATTAATATATTTTATTCTTATTTTTAATTTAAAAATATATTTTATTTTTATCTTAACTATAAAAAATATTTTTTTATCTCAATTTTAAAATATTGTAAGAATAAAATTTAAATATTTAAGTTAAGGTAAAAATGTTTTTTTAAGTTTAAAAAGACTAATATATTTATATTTTTTACTTTAGTTAAGATAAAAATAAAATAAATTCAATTTTATTAAGACATTAATTTAAGTTAAGATATATATAATTTTTTGAATTTAAAATTACACTAAGATATAAGTTATATACCATATGTAGTCAATTTCAAGGCAAATGAGTAGCCTTATCCATGTGGTTGATACTCTCCTTTGTCACCCACACTACCCAAGTTTGAATCCCATGCCCACATGTGTCACCCTCTTATTGGTGGTAACTGAATATACGAAATTAAAATAAATTAAATCCTCCAATCGGGTGGCGACACGTGACATGATATTTGACACTACTAACATATGGCATGATCTGATTTGAAGATTAAATTTATTTTAATTTATCAAAATTATGACCAATTTGATAGAATATATAAGTAACAATGACCAAATGTGTAATTATATCAAATTTATTAATTATCTCGTCATCACTTCCGTTAATTGTTAACGGCAAGTGGCATGATTGAATGCATTTAAATAGTTGGGTGGCCTGATTGACAAGAATTAAAAAATGATGGTCAAAGTGAAAAGAGGCTATAGTGTGGTGGTCACTAGTATAGTTTACCCAAAAATATATTAGATTCTTATTCTCATACTAGTAATAAAGAAGAGAAAAAATGGATCTACGAGCTCATACAGAGCACTGGGTTTGGGAGGTTCTAACTGGCGAAAGCTTTATTATTCTTGAAACAGGTTTTAACAAAGCTATTTATTTCTCTTTAAATAAAATCTAAATTTTACATATATAAATTTTTAACTTAATGGGTAATATAATATATGAATTTTAATTTAATATAATATTATATACATAAAACTTTTATTTGATCAGTTTTTATAAACTATTGTTATCAACTTTGAATCATTTCACATATTATGCATATAAATAATTATATTTATTTAACATATCCAATAACTTTAAGGTTTGAGTTTAAGTCTCACTTAATGCATATTAAATATGTATGATTTTTTATAAATTTTATTTTTTATTTAAATTTTCATCATGTGTGGATTATATTATAATAAATTTTGGTTTTTAGTCTTATTGTATACTCTAATATTTGATTCTAAAATAAAAAGATATATTATTTATGATCTGTATTTATATTTTTTATTTGTACCTTCTTAAAAATATATTTATCTAACTAAAATTATATGTTTGAAATTGAACTAAAAATAAAATATTTATATAATTTAATTAAAATTAAACTTTTATGTGTACAATTATTCAAAAATAAAAATTATTTTTTAAGGTATATGAGTTTATATCTTATAAACTAATATTTTTAACAATAATTATAATTATTATACTTTTTAACTAGTATTGTCTTGTGATTCACTATAACTTTATGTATATATATTACCAGCACTTCAAATATATATATAAGAGAAAGGGTCGGAGGGGTTAATAGTTAGTCAGGTGTATGACGTACACATGATTTTATGTTAGGGGTTTAAATTTAAGAAATTATATTAGAAATTTGGAGGAATAAAATTATAAAATTTTAAGAGTTACAAAATTTGATTATTGATAAAAAAATAAAAACATTTAAATTATATCATAATTTAAAATTTTCAAGGGATGCGATCAAACTCCAAC